GTTTCGTGTCCCTCCGAAGCACAGCATTACGGTCCACTGCCCGGCTCGAGCGGTCCTGGCGGCGGGCGGACCGGGCGCGAGTAACCAAGGCCTTACACGACGCGGTATGGCGATGGGCAAGTGCCGGCTGGGTGCCAGTGTACGATACAATCCTGCTGCAGCTGACTTCCTGCATTAAAAAATATTATGGCTGCAGAAATTTCCTGTACGCCAAATTATTGGTGATGTCCTCCGGCGATAGGACGAATAGATCGCCTACTCACTCTGAAGCAGCCGGCGCAAACGCTGACACATGGGAACACTGGCTTAGTCAGGTTAAGACGTTTTACCTTCACAGACTGGCCTTGGCTCTTGTTCATAGCTACGGTATAGCTCTGCTTGATGGGAAACTACCCGGTCAAGCTCGAAGGGAATGCCAGATTGGATAAACAAAATTCAGGAATGCACTCATGGATAAAAAAGAAATTAACATCACGCATAAAACGGCAAGAACGCCATGAGAAAGGGTCAAAACACATGCATTCAACGATATATAGGTTCAGGAAGTACCGCATGATAAACCCTCGGGAACCATAACCACCTCTCGGGAGGTTAAGGTCATACAAGTTAGCCAACCCGTCCGCTAGGGTGGCAATTTCACGCGGCCACTCTAGCATTAAACCAACGTTTCATGTCACAACCAAACGATGACGCATTGCGGAACATATTCCATAAAAGTGAAATTTTGTCCTCTAGAGCAGGATTTTGCACTTAGATATGCCAGTTGTTACAAGTGAGCTTATTTCATCACATCTGAAGCTTGCCTGAATATCTTCAAATGTGTAACATCCATTTTACAGGAATCTTCAAAATTTTAGCATTTTAAAACAAGCATCGGATATGATGAAATCAGCTCACTTCTACCTATTGGCACACTTTCGAGTGAAAGAGACTTCCGTGGACTTTTGGACTTTCGACAGTCATGCTGTATTTCACTGCTGACAACCTGACGGTAGTGAACTGAAGCCGTGACTCTTCGGCGAACAGAGCCTTTTTCAGGAACTGAGGTGCCTTCAGATTGGAAGGCCCCTTGTAGCGCTGCAGCTGCATAGCCTACTGGGCGAGTCGCTGCAGGGAAATCTCACTGTCGCCGTGCTGATACGGGCTTGTACTCGAAAAGCGCCGAGACATACCAGGAGCTGATGGACTAACTAGAGACAGCCAAAGGGCACCTGGCTAGAGGTATTCAAGTGAAATGCCTCTTCAAGCCTTCACTGCTAGAGCTCACACTCCTGCGCGGAGGGCAGGACGACGGTTTCCTCCTTTAGCAGCACGGTCTGAAGGCAATGCTGCCGTATTTCTTCGTGACAGGTCACCATCATTATGCTCACCAACCGAGCCGTCACGTGGGCAAATCTCATACCTTCCCCAGTGTGCCATGGTGAAGCTACTGGCGGGCGCGCATGCCTGGGGACACTTGCGCAGCGAGACCGCGGTGCCAGCAGATCAGATGCTGGTTGACCTCGGTCTTGCACCGAGGTCGGCACCGGTCGGCTCTTGCACCACGTCGTTTGGCCAGTTTCTGGGACCGCGGAAGACTTGGCTTAAAGTTTGGAGACTCGACAATTCCAGTGGTTCCCCTCTCCGCCCGACGTGACCCCTTGTGATCTCCGCACCCCGCCCCCCCGAAAAAAAAACACAAGCTAGAAGCTAACTGCCAACTTCAGTTAGAGCGTCAGAGTCTCCGCCGCCATGTCAACCGTCTCCACAGCAGCAGTTTCTCCCGAAGCGCTCCTGAATGTAGTGATCTGCAGCTACGCCGCTGAAAGCAAAGTGTGCAGCGTTGCGCGCTACAGCTGCAACAGCTACAGTGCAGGCCTTTACTTTAGTAGTTTCCCCGCCAGATTCTAGCACCACGAAGTGGTGCTGTATAGGCTAATCCGTTCTTATTGTCAAAAGAAAAATCGCACGAATAAATACATGCCCGGAATGCCTCCAAGATGCATGATTTAATGCTATAAAGCGTTCAAAGACATTTTTCAGATGCGTAAGGGTCCACCTGTTGGCCACGGCTTAGCGCAGGCCGCGAGACCGACGCCGCGCGGTCTATGGAGACTGCAATGCCTGTCGTTGCTGTTTTTGTTGCTAAAATCTGCAAGCGCGCGTGCTTAAAATCACGTTACATAATGTGTATCAGTAATGGATTCTGACTGAATGTTTAACATCTCCAGAAAAACAGGCTTGGCTACTTTAATGCAACTTGTTGACTCACTTCCATCTGCAATCCTTATTCGCAGGGATCATTCATATATCTGGGCAACACAGAGACAAACTCTGACAAAGCCTCTGTGCTCTATCAGTTTAGAAAAAGATCCCCTGGACTACTGCATCGATCTACAATCTACATTCGCAGGGGCGTTTTTATCTCTGAACAACACAGATGAAAACTGCGACAAAGTCACCGAGCTCTATCGGTTTAAAAAAATATTTTGGACCATTGCAGAATGAAGAGCTCCGGCGATTTTTTTTAGTTGAGTGTCAAATTCAGGCGGGGCTGATCTCGCGGTAGCTTCTGACATGTATTCCAGATATAGAACGCCAAAACGAAGAACATCTAAGAGAAACGTGCAATCAATAGCAAATGTTCCATACCCAGCAAAAGCAATTATTCTTTAAAGATTGTTTTAATTATTACAAACAGTTATTTTTTAAGGACCTTTCGCTATCAATGTGCCCCTTTGTCTACCTTGTCCCCCTTGCGAAGGCTCCGATGTAATCCATCGTCCCCTTGGCGTCCAGAATCATATTCCACGTCACGTTCTTACCTTACTGAGATGTTATATTTAACCGCCATATTATCATCTTGCCGCTCATGCGCACCAAATCCTCCTGCAACGTATCGTCCCGTTAGCGTACAATGTCATATGCCATGCCATATTCCACTACATACGTCATATTTGGCCAAGCCGACCAGGGTAATGGAAAACTCGGTGCCGATGTCCGCGAAGTTAGCGATTTATTCAGCAATTTATTCAGCGACGAGTTCCGATTTCTCTGACGAAAGGTTTGAAAATCAATTATGGCACGAGAACATCGAAAATTCGCCCTTGGCAGGTACGGCCTGCGGCCGGTGGCAGCGGGCGCGCTAAAGGTCAGTTGACGGCAGAGGGCAGGGCGGACCGTACCGAGTGTTGCGGCACATTCAACATTCGCCACTAAATTCTGCCGTTGTCTGGAGTGGCGCGATCGTGTGGTAGAGGTCAGGGCTCACACAACAAGCGCTGCTCAGCGGTAGCTCTGATACCAGAAATCCATCCATTCAAATGTTTCGGATCAAATCTTTAAAAAACCTCATTTTGCAATATCATGTGACCATCGAGGTCAAACACTGTGTCAAAGGACGAAGGAAACTCGGTGTCATCCAAAATTTACCGGCCGATCAGAAAACTGTAAGCACCAAAGTATTCACGAGCGCAAGAGTCTTGAAGAAGTCCTGAGCTCTCAAGACTTCTTGACGTTTGACTTCGTCTCTTCTTGACTTCAAGACTTCGCGCTTCAAGGTCAAAGGCGGGCTCAACAATCAGGAACTAGTTTGACGGACGTTAGTTTGTTTTGTGGTGCAATTTTTGATGTGTGCAGTTTTAAAATCGGCCGGTGATTTCGGGTGAGATGAGTTTCCTCGTCCGTTGAGCCCGCGTTTCACCTTGAAGGGTGGCCGTGACAATTCAGGACCTTTGACGGACGCTAGCTCTTTCCGTGTGGAATATTCGCATGTTTGCAAGTTAAAATTCAGCCTATTTTTTGGATGATAATGATTTCCCCGTCCTCTGAGTCCGTGCTTGACCTTGAGGGGTGACCTTGATAGGCCTGGACTTTTTGACGAGTGCTAGTTCTTCTTGTGGTTGCATATTCTGACACTTGCGAGCTTAAAATCGGCCGGTAATTTTTGGGCGATATCCAGTGGATTTCCCCGTCCTTTGAGCCTGCATTTGACTTCGAAGGGCCATCTTAAAATGTCAGGACATTATGACGGACGCTAGCTCTTTTGCTTGTAAGTGTTTTGATGCTTGCAGTTTTCTAATCGGCCGATAATTTTTGGGTGATATCTAGTTCCCCGTCCTTTCCCCTCCTCGTGTTTGACTTTGAAGGGTAACCTTAAAAGGTCAGGACTTTTTTTAGTAGCGCTAGCTCTTTCTGTGCTGACTTTTCTTATATTTGGAAGTTAAAATCGGCAGGTAATTTTTGAGCGATATTGAGCTCTCCGTCATTTGAGCCCACGCTTGACTCTAAAGGATGACCTTGAGAGGTCAGGACTTTTTAACGGATGCTGGTTCTTTCTGTGGTGAATCTTCTGATGCTTGTAAGTTTGAAATCGGCCGGTAATTTTTGGTTAACATAGAGGTCCCATCCTGTGGTGCCGCGTTTGACCTTGAAGGGTGGCCTTGAGAGATCGGGAGTTTTTGTCTGACGCTAGCTCTTGCGCCTGGGAACGCTTTGATTCTTGCGGTTTTTCTAATCGGCGGGCAGTAATTGGGTGATATGGAACTTCCCGTCCTTTGACCCAGCTTTTGACTTCGAAGGTCATATGATTTTGCAAAATAACTGTATTTTTCGGTGCACTCGTGCCATAATTGACCTGAAGACCTCCTCCAGACAAATCGGAACTCGTCACTAAATAAATCGCTGCATAAATCGCTAACTTTACGGAAGTTCGATGCCGACCAATTGACAAATAACACGCAAAAACTCCACCCTGAAAAACCTATCGCTGCTTATATCAGGGCCCTTGAACGGAGGTTGATACAAGGGTCTGATCTGTTGAGATGCCATTGCCGCGTTGGTGAATGGACATGCCCCGTCGTTATCGTAATGATTATGCTTTAAAGGTAAGATGATGATGAATCCCTAAAGCATTTCGGTGATGTGATTGCGTAGGGTGCGTGGTTCGCTCTGATGGACCATGTAATATGGCAAAGTGAGACACCAACGTATACAATGACCGTGTGTTTGCATCTGCTGATACCAGTATGGCATATCTTGCGTTTTAGGTAAATATTTTTCAGGCTGTTTAGGAAGTGTGAGACCTGCACTGTGATCTATGGCCCTAGCTGGTGATACTGAATCTACTTGGATGCCAATGATTCCTCTGAAGAGTGATGGAAACGGTGATGCTTTTTGGCATGCATGCCCTAAACCATGTATGGAAGCCCCCCATGTTGAGTTGAATGTAAAAGAAATTCATTGCCTCATGTCATTGATGCCTTTTCAGAACAGGACATTGGAAGAATCAATAATCTGAATAGCCAAAGATGGAACATGGAGCTCACATGATTCCACTTCCTGCTGTTATTTTGCTTTTTCTGATCTTTTTGGTTTTCACATTGATATTCATGTTTAGGTATGTACCAACTTCAAAAAAAGAAGCAATACCATGCTTTTGAAGTGGTGCTGGAATGGTTGGTGTGCCTTTATTTGACATGTTATTCCCAGTGCCTTAAATTGCCAAAATTGAAGCTTACATGTTTTCATTAAAGGCATCTTCAAGTATTACCAGTTGGTGCATACACACATTTCACTTAAGTTCTCGCTTCTTTTGTTGGTTCTGAAGGCTTATACATGGTCAGTTTTCCTTTAATGGTTACTTCATTTACCATTTTGATAACAAATGTCATTTAGGCATGATAGTAGGTGAACTTATTTTTCCTCGATGCTAGGCATATAATGCTGATTGTATGTGATACTTTGCTGTAATTTCATCTTTCAGCACAGCTGCTGGCTCATCATTAACAACAACTATCTCATGCCTGTGCAGCATGCTGGCACAACATGGCCCATATTTTGTAATGTTTGTGACATATCAGTTTCAGACAACCTGTGATGTTCTCTCAGTCAGTGGTGCATTGGACATCTCAAGATGCTGTCCAAGTACACCTTGATCCTTTGCACATACCATTTTCACTTGATGTGCTTGAAGAAGGATCAGGCATTGATGCTGGTGGCACTAATACAGGTATGTGGTTGTTTTGTGGCAGATGATATTTGTTATCCCTGTAAACCTTTAAATTTTCAGAGTTTGCCATGCATGAATACCAATTAATGGTTGTTTGGTTCCTGGAAACAGTTGATGACAATATGTGTGATGGTAAATCCCTGAAAGGAAGAGATACACTTTTCAGATCTAGATTTGAAGCTGCACAGAAAGCTAGAATGGGTGTGTCATTCTGATAGAAAAATACAGGAGTGTTTTTTTCATTATTTAAACCAATACAATGCTATCTATACATTATAGTTTAGGCATTTATCAGTTCACTCATAGATATCTCAAATTTTAAATTTCAATGACTTTTTCATTGATTCATTTTGCCAGACTGATCGCCAGCATCAAAAGCATGCATTCCTGCAGTCACCCAGCTTGGCAATGTAGGAGAGTATCCCTCATGCTGCACGTCCACTCCCATCACCTGCATTCCCACACCCAGCCCTCTCACCAATCCTCATGCCCGTTTTATCGGGGTCACCGTGCTCCCTCGCCCGCATCCCGGGGTTGATCGGATCCTGATGGCTGAGGGGCGCTTCGCACAAGTCAGTCACCGCGCGTCACAACGCTTCGCTTCGACCAGAATGTCCGGGCTGCGGGGGCCGTGGGGCTCATACAGGTCTAGCCGTTTGACGCCCGTGCCGCGACTGGGTGCTCCGTGCTGACCTCCGCTTGGGGCGCATGGTCGCACGCGGCGGCTCAAGAGATTAAGAGGTGGCGGCGCTTCACCACGTTCAGGACGATGGGGTTCTCGCCGGTTACACGTGGCCGTTCGGGAGACGTCGTTCGCTCTGTATAGCACCGGGTTAGCCCTGGCGGTGACCACCTACCGAGTGAATGTTCTGCCGCCCCCAGCTATGTTCGGAGGTGGGCGGTGAGCTCCTAAGCAGAATGCCTAAAATCTGGCGTATGGACACTCTTTCTTCTTCCAACCACCCCCACGGCGACTCCTCTTCAGTGTGGGTGTCGCCGCCCACGCCAAAGACCAGGCTTGGGCAGACGGCGTTCGGTGACCATCTTCTGAGCATCGCACCGCTGCGCAGGTCTCACCCCAATGTGACGCACCACTGCCCCAGTACCTGACGGCTCAGCGCTGTAAACAAAACTCCGATGGGAAGCTACTATTGGCTCTGTCTCAGTCCGTTTCAGCGTGAACAGGTGTCCTCGAAATTTGGTATTCCGGATTTTCGTAGGTGCCCGGACGGTCCCATCTAGGTTCATTACCCCAACGACAAAGACGCCATCGTTTAAATAACGGCCCCCGCAAGGACACCGGCTTCGGCCGGGGTAGGGGAGTAGCACCCCCTCGGGTGTCACCCCCGGTAATGGGAGGTTTCCATCACCCGCATCCGACCGTCTCGCCAATCTTCATCACCGTGTTATCGGGGTTGCCGGGCCCCTTCGCTCGCTTTTCCGGGTTGATGGGATCCTGATGGCTGAGAGGTGTGTCGCACAGGGCATTCACGGCGCGTCCCAACACTTCACTTTGGCCAGAATATCCGGGGCCACGGGGATCCCGGAGGTAGTGTCTGAAATTTGGGGGTCTCTTAGTTCTTTTCACTGTAAGGCAATTCATTCTCCGTTGATATTCACAGGGAAGAATACATAAACGAAAGATATCAGTGAGCATTATCCGGTCAGTGTCTGTCCACAACCATCAACAGCACCGCGTTGCACACTACCTTCGACCGAGAGACATGCTGCAGACGGAGGCTAATCGTCACCCTTGCATAATGATTTATTTCATTGCGCTCCGTAGTCTGACCCTGCTCAACAATACATGTAAACCACGTACCTACATCCCCGCATGTCCCCAAACGCAGCACTGGGCGAGCCAAATTCTCAACAACGAGGCCATCTCCTGGTATAGCGTACAGCCAAAGCGCACAGAGAGAACCGAGAGAACAGCGCAAGGAACAGCGAATATCCCGTACGCGCGCGGCCACGGTGCTTCATGATGACACCCCTGAGTTGGTAAAGAAGTACGTAAGGTAATACTAAAATATATGTGGCAATATTGGGTACTTAGCACTCATTTTGAGCAAGACGCTGATAAAGATTCATTAATAGGCATGCGTAATTGTTCGTCCCTAATAGCTGTTAAGTTATATAAATGGCATGTAAGTTAGATGTAGACTGAAATGCGACCTTGCCTCCCCGCTTGGGCATGCTGAAACAAGCTGGCTGACGTTTCCGGCTGTTGGCGAGGATGTAGCGTTGGGGAGAAGACATTTTCCACCCGGCATTGCGAGCTGAATATAGAGCGAAGGCACACGAAAATGGTCAAGAAGAAAAGGTTGGATTTTTTCTGTCTAATTGGGAGCGGCCAATTTACGCCACGAGTGTAAAGCTCCGGAAGTGTTTCTTGTTCTTAATTGAGCGGGCGTATTGATTGCAAATTGAAATATGAACGCAATATTCGTCAAATTCAGCGGTTTTGTCAGTCAATAAGTTTTAGAAAATCACGAAGAACTTATTAAAACAATGCCAAAACAGATAGCACCTGGCAGTCTCTATCGTCAAAGGCTTTTCGTTTGTGCGCGCCATTTCTGTAACATTCCGAGTTTCCGCGACGTTCATGTGCAGGAGCCGCGTCGGGCCATAACAGTTGGATTGGTCGGCACTTTGGATAAAGACTGAGCATATTATTGTAACGGACTCAACGTCGATGAGCACATGAAACACGTGCTAACTTTGCAGGGCTGGTTTGCTCTGTGGGGAGCAAGTAATCCCGGCCGCCGCTGCACTGACCGCCGGGCTCCTGTGTCACTGGGGCTTTACGACGCACTCAGCTGCTGAGGCTATATCGCGTCGCCTGCGTCTCGACCTGGCGGGAAGGGCGGGCACCGGGGGGTATTGAACCCCGTACGTCTGGTCTCCCAAATGTGCAGTGTTTAACGCAGATGCGTTAACCACTACACCACTGGCACCCACCAGCGTTTCGGAAGGGGGAAGTTGTGTAAATAAGCTGGGAGAGGGCTGAGGAGAAAAAAAAAACGTTTAACCCAAATCGATAGTAAGACATTGTTTTCTCCCTGGGTTTGGCCAAATTTTTTCTCAAAATTTGGAGAGAGGCTAAGTCACATCCAACTGAATAGGAAACTACGTCCCTGTTCCCAAAGGAAGTATAGCTAAGTGAGTAGATGCCAAAATGAGTATTGTGTTTCCCGAGTATCTGTCCCTTAGGTGAGAAATATACTTACTTGGCTGGTAGGTAGCTGCGCTTGCTGTTGTATGCCAAATGTTCCTATTTATATTACAGTGGCTTGCAAGATATTTCGATCATAATGCTGTCATGATCTGTTCTGGGGAGATATGCAACGGGCGCACAACATTTGAAGCATTGGTTTCTATTGGTTTCTAAATTGAGACACACATCTCCTCTCAGAATACAATTTGCAATGTAAGACCAGTTTTTGTCTGCTCCATAGCTTCAAAAAATACAGTACGTGTGATCATTTGCTTCTGAAGGAAGCAATTACTTCGTGAGATAGAAACTCGCAGAATCGCAAGCCGACGGTCCTCGACTATCCAACGACCGGTACGATGGCCCACCCCAACGCCACCGGCTGGAACTACGGTTCTGCGCGCCGGACCGAAGTGGCGTCCTCCTCCAAGTCCTGACTATGTTTTAATTGTCGACTAGCAGTCACCATGTCGTGCTCAATTTTAGTTCGAAGCCTTCGCTTTCTTGAACAAACTTGTCTGGCCTGCAAAGGCTTCTTTTAACCTGCAACCCCGTCGTGGCCTGCCTGCATGAGACAAAGGTGTCGTCTTATACGCGGGTGAGCGCCAAATGTCACAGCATGCATCGAAGGTCCGTTAGGTCCAGCACAGTAGCCCATGGCGGAGTGGCCATCTTAGTGCACCACGTAATTCCCCGCGTAGGGGTACCACTTGATACGCACCTGCGGGCTGTCCTCGGAGTTTTCAGGGTGGCAGTGTGTTTTATCTGCACCCCCTCTCCCCTCGGACGAGATGTTGAATGTGGACTCGAAGTCTGTTGTTGGCTAGCTTCCTGGGCCGTTTCTAGTGGGCGCCGGTAGTGTAGTGTTTAACGCGTCTGCGTTAACCACTGCACGTCTGGGAAACCAGAGGTGCAGGGTTCGATTCCCCGCGGTGCCCGCCCTTCCTACCAGGGTGAGAGGCAGGCGACGCCATAAAGCCTCAGCAGCTGAGTGCGTCGTAAAGCCCCAATGACACACACCTTGGTCGTTTCTAACCATGGAAGATTTTAACACGCATACTGCGCATGGGGCTGTACGCTACCAGCCGCACAGGCAGACGCTTGGAGAGGCTCGTGGATGCAAACCGCTCGTGTCTACTGAACACAGACCTCCCCACGCATGTGTCGCTTCCATGAGGGACCATTCACATCGGGACGTCAAGCATGCTTCCTGGAAAAATTATGTGGATGTTATAAACTAGTTTACCTCAGTCCAAGTCTAGAGCAGGATAACGGCTTCTTCTGGAAAATGACCCTCAGCTCCAGCGCCAGTACTGAGAGTCGCTGGGCGCACGATCGCCAGCACGACTGGGCTAGCGAACACGATAAGACGGGGGTGCCGGTATTGCAGTGGTCAAAGCGTCTGGGAAACCAGAGGTGCGGAGTTCGATTCCCCACGGTGCCCGCCCCTCCTGTCAGGGCGAAAGGCAGGCGATGCCATAAAGCCTCTGCAGCTGGGTTTGTCGTAAAGCCCCAATGGCGCTTCAGGATAAGGCGGACTCTAGCCGACAGATGCCTGCTAGGCACTGACAACTCAACGTTCGTACGTCACAAGGAAGAGAGCGAGCGGACAGCAATTCGATTTAGCGGAGCAAATCTCGTCCATTGAACAACGCTTTTACCATGACAGATATGCGGTTGGCACCGAAGAAGGCCAAAAGTATAAAATCTGGGCCTGACGAAATGCATGACGAAATGCTAACCAAGTTGAACAAATGTTCTTTGACATCGAGACTTAAGTTTTTAAAGTTACATCTAGACCAGCGAAGACTTTCCTGACAATTGGAAAGTCAGTCGTGACACTAGTCCTTTAACCAGGAAAGGATGAGCCCGTCCTCATGCACTATCGTCCCGTATCACTGACGTCGTCCCTTTGCAAGATGGTGAAGAGAATGCCTGATGTGGTTTCGTGAGGTCAACATTTTGCTGTCGAATATTCAACGAGGATTTCGCAAAACCGGAGCAGTGTCGACCACCCGCTGATTTTCGACACCGACAGATCCTCTTGTAAGTGGAAGCAACGTACCGTTGCTGTGTTTTGGACATAAAGCGCGCTGGTGGTGCCGCTTGGTGCTACAACATTTTGTCAAAAGTTTTCGGGCGGGGCCTGCATGGCCACATGGAACATTTTATTGTCAACTTTCTGCGGCAGAGATTTTGTCGTGTTTAAACAGGTGGAACCCGCTCCGAGTGCTTCGAACTGCTGAATAATGCTCTTCAGGGAAGTGTCCTCCGAGTGTAACTTTTTATCCCTTTTATCCCTTTTTGCTTTCATGATAGTGATATACCTGATCGTCTGCCACCGAATAGTGGTCGATCACTTTTTCTGATGACTTTCCCATCTGGTGTTAGACTTCACTCTGCAGAGAGACAGCTGCAAGTTTTGATAGGCTGACGCAATGGAGTTTGGCATATATATTCCGTTTTTCGACCGCTAAGATCACCCCTAGACACTCTTGCGCAGGAAGTAGTGCGTGGACCCAGAACTTCACGTGTATGGTATCGGCCTTCCGGTTTGCGACGATTGCGATGATTCTGGGCTTGACCCTGGATTGTCGTCTTATCTTCAAACTTCATATTCGACCCTTCACCACTTCTGTGTTCTCATCGCAACATGAGCGTTCGAGACGTCGCGTTCTCCCAACCTGCTAGTGGAAGCTAACGAGCCACCACTGGATTTGAGGTGTAAGAAAGTTGCGTTGAATGACACGATCAAAGTAGCGCAGTTCCCGACTCACCCGGTGCATGACTCATTCTCGCACTTGCTCATTATCTCCTTTTTGAGAGGGAAGGAAAGCTTTTCAAGGCCGATATGTGTGTGCATCAGACATTGGGTGCGGAAGAGTGACATCCAGATAGATGAGATCGCGACGATCTCTCCAGATCAGCATCAACCGCCGTTGGAATTTGCACCCCTTACGTGTGACCTATGCCTATGCCATGCGGGAAATGGTCCATACCCGAGGTAGAGTTCGTGCAGCATTCTGCGTAACAAAGGTCCTTGCGCGACATATCTCTGAAGCTTTTCATGGATGGATCGAAGGGAACTGTTGGGACTGGGTGGGCTTTTGTCTGTGGTGACGTCACTCATACGCTTTGTCTACCGCCTCAAGTCACTGTGTTTCCAGCAGAGTTGTTTGCCATGCTCGCAGCAGTATAGCTCTTGCGATGCCGTTGCTAAAAATGATGTTCTGGGTCTGTCTGACACCATGATCTCGCTCATCTCTAGACCCAATCTCCGAGTCAAGCAGCCACTCTCCCCTGGTCCCATCAATCTGGGACGAGCTCTGGCTCGCGAGCGGTCTTGGCATTTGTGTTACGCTCATGTGGATTCCCATTCATGTTAGAATTTTCTGAAAGGAACGTACAATCGCGGCAACAAAGGTGGCGGCTGGCCACGGCCGTCCACTTTCTATTAAAACGCCAGTCTGCGACTTGCAGCAAGATGTTGGGCAGTCGTGTGTAGACCATGGTATGGGAGATGGGATGTCTCAAGTAGCTCCTTCAAGGAGCTGAAACGCCCCATATGTGAAAAGGAGACATCACACCGTAAGAAAAGTCTCAGTATGCTAAGGGTTCCCCTGGCCGCCAGCGTACCCCAGCGTGTGACGGGTGTGGCAAACGGCTCACGGTTTGATGTATGTTGGTTTCTTGCCACCAATACGATGCGATAAGAGGGGCATGCTGTTTGGCAGCGACTATTGCTCAGCCTCTGGATAGACCAAGGGATTCCAGGCCGTGACGCCAAAATGGCACCACGCGTGAGACGCACCGCGGTGGAACGGAATGGCCCTTCAGCTCCTGGCCGGAAACATTAATGTGCCTCCTATTGTTGCACTCAAGAGACTTCTTTGCCCGGAAAGAAATGATGGGTCTCATTAGTGTTGAAAAGAATGGGTCAAACTGAGTTGAAAAATGAGCAAGGCCTTCCTAAGTCGCCAGAAAACGTTCATTATTTTGCAGAACCGATTGGTAAAACAAATTACATCAAAATATTTGAGCTGGCGCGCCCGAAATGTCGGTGGGGGGGGGGGGGGGCAGGACAACGATGATCTGGGTTTCAATTTTCGTGGAACCGAATGGCCACTGCAAATGACATCACGCCCCCTCGCTAGAACGACCGTCGTAAAGTAATGATTCAGAATGTCTGTCAAAATGAATTCGCGCCGCTCAGAGATAAGGCTAGATGTATCTTTTTTAGAACTTTGAGGTTGTTCTTTGAACAGATTAACAGTTACAGCTGCACGAAAAATAGAGATTTTACCTTTACCCTTGCAGTTCCACCTCCGGATTCTAGCCAACACCTCTTCACGGTGCTGCAAATGCCAATGCGTTCTTAACATCAATCTATAAATCATGCCGATGAAATAGACGCCCGGACTACCTTCTGAATGTACGATTTTACATTAAGTGTTCAAAGGTAATTATTTTAGATGCGTCGTCATTTTCATCCACTCGACCCACATCCACGACTTAATGATGGCCACAGCGCCGACACTGCGCGGCTTACGAAGACTGCAACGCCTGACATCAATATTTTTATTAATATTTGCGACCACGAATGTTCAAAGCTACATCATAGTTTGTGTCACTAATCGAATCTGACGAAATGTGGAACACTTCCAAACAAACACGGCGTGACCAGGTTAATGCAAATTGTTGACTCATTTTGATCTCTAATTTACGTTCGCGCTGTCCCTCATGTCTCTGTAGAACCCATATACAAATCATGACGAAGCGTCTGAATCCGACTGGTATAGAAAGTCCTTTGGACCATTGTAAAATGGAGAGCGCCGGCGATTTACTTCATACAGTCGTTCAGCTCACGATTTCTTCATTGTATTAACTCTGAGATTCAGTCAGAATTTACGTCACGGTAACTTCTGCTTTCCAGTTATAGAAAGAAAAAGGAAAAATGTAAAATGTAACTGTAAAATGTAATGTAAATGTAAAAAATGTAACAATTAAAAAAGGAAGCAAAAGAAAAAAAGAAAAGTGTACTCCTATTAACCATTGGGCCATATCTGGCGCTTTGGGGGCATGTTTTCTCTATTAAGGGGTCCTTTGTCAACCTTGTGCCCTCCCCCCCCCCCCCCCTCCTCCTTTCCAAGGCTCTGGGTGCGCGACTGGTTGTCAGCGAGCTGTCTTACCGCGTGAGGACCCAGGGCGATGTCAGCGCAGCCTTCACTGCAGAATGGATCGGACTAGAAACTCGTCAAAAGGCGTGATGACGTGCTGGGATGTGCGAGAAGCGTCGCAGGAGGCGTTAATGGAGGGACCAGAGAGGTGCGGAGTGACCTCTGCTGTGCGCGCCAGAATAAGGGAGAACGGCCGGCTCAGCAACGCGGACGCTATCGCGCGGTGGTTATAGCTCCATATCAGTCAGACTGTTCATCTTAGATCTGGACCTCTGCTTCCGGTGTCAAAACTGTAGTTATCTGAACCTGAAATTTAATAATTCATTGTGTCTTAAGCGTCTGAAGTGTCGTAAGATGAAGTCTCCAGACTTACTAAATCCCAGGTGCTGGTGGGCATTGGTGTCGGATCAAATCATGAAATCGCATCATGTTCCCATCGACCGTTGTCGTCATGCTTCATCGCCTTTTTCCTCAGCTGCCGTGTGTGATGCCTGACACCACTTATTTTCACACTGAGTAGCAACGGGTGATGATGCACGCTTCTTACTGAGGCCCACCGTCGGCAGTGGTGCGGTGCGAACTGAAGTCGGAGCGAGCATGTCACCTCAAGTTACTCTGGAGAGTTCCATGTTCGTCGCTGGGTCGCCTGCTGAATGTGGTGACAGCGGCGGATGTCCTGCTTCTCCACGGTGACACGCGAAGGTACGGAGGGTGGCGGCCGCGAGCGTCGCCAGTGACAGCGTGGTCAGGTCGCCTTACGCGGCTGTCGCACAGACCGTGGCCACGGGCGGATCTGGACACGACTATTTCCAGAGAACCCAGTGGGAACGTCATCACGACATGGTAAAGGCCGATGAGCGACTTGAGAGGACGAAGTCGAGTTCCAGGTGGAATGTGTGGCAAAGATGTGGAACTGGGTCTTACTGCACCAGTGATAACTTGAGCTGTGGCGACCGACCGCTGCGCTAACTTGAATTTTATAACCATGCAGCAAATGATCGCAGCTTCATGCAGCTTTTCGCAGCAGAATGTGCGTTGACTTAAAAGCTAGGCGCATATGTTAGATTCCATTCAAGGTGCTCGATGTGCCACGATTAATGTGTAACTTGCAATGCGAACATAACAAAACTTGCCTATTTGATTGACTTGGGAACCGTGAGATATGGAATGTTTGTAAAAGACGCTCAGCACTGGTGGAAACTAGTCCCAGGTACTGCCCGCCCGGTGTCGCAGCAGCGCCAGACCAGTACCATTTGGCAAAGGGCAGAACGAATTGGCAAGCGCGGGGTGCTGTTTGTACTGCGTTATCAATTATATATTACCGTGCATCTTATCATTTTACGGGCGACTAATGTACACCTTGCGGTTTGCTGTTTGAGCCATATATGCTGAGTGGATTGTATTTATGTACAAAAAATGACGGTTGCCTATCATGCCTGTTCACATGTCAGTTTCGGGCCCGGCGAACACAGCATCGAGGCGGTGTACCAGGGGGAAGAGACCTTAGAGGAGCCCTCGTTGCCAAGGAGCCACTATCCCCTGGTGGCCGTCGTCGAAATCACCGCCGCGCCGGAATCGCCCAGCAGTGTGGTAAATACTCGAACTTACCAGTGACAGTTGTTTAAGTCTTCCGCTGTGTATTCTGTGGCGCGTTCTGTTTGAACACGACTAAGCGTATTGATTGAGCTCGATAGAAGTCACATGGCTCGCTTTCACATTGTTTTACATGTTTCCATGTGTTTCCTAACAGTTGCTTTGTTGCAGCCTTGATGTTTGGTGTTTCACCACTTTAAGGGAGTGTTCCACACTTATATGGAGTTTTGAACTGAACTAGCGATCTTGAAGACCTCTCGGTGCTGTTCGCAATCCTGTCCTTATTAAGACCTAAGCCTCTCTAGCTTCTGAGTCACGCACCCGCGAAAATGGGGAAAGATTTATGGGGGGGGGGGGGGAATATTTCAAGGGCGCCTTGGCATTCATGGCGCCATATTAACGCCATTTAAGTCATGCCATTCCATAAGCTATGCGGCGGTCAAGGCCAAACAAATATAACCATCGAGGCGTTCATATCTGGCGTTCGTGAGCACGATTTCCAGATATAAAGGCCGTCAGCTACATTCCTATCAATGTTGTGCGAGGCGCTATGATGTACTAAAACCATGGTGCATTGAGGAGCATATTTACTAAACAGAGAATTGTGCTGTCTGGAGTAGTCTTTTCAACTTATGACTTATGGCCACAGGTGACTTGGATCGCAGATGTTTGTACTGGGATACATCCATTGTGATGTGGTGGATGACGTTCATTTGATGTTGCGCCGCATGCCTTCAAGTTGTATGGAGTGGTTGTATTTGTAGCATGGTCTGGTTTTCTTAAGCCTTCTCGTGCTGCCTCCGACGTACGGTTGCCTCCGACATACACCATCTGGAAGATGATTCGGTACAGCTCACAACTCTGCCCTTATTAAGACCTAAATCCTTCTAGTTTCTGAGCTATGCGACCGCGAATATGTGCAAATTTCGGGGAGACTATTTCAAGGTCATCCATGCATGCATGACGTCATGTAACGTCATTCAAGTTAAACCGTTCCATTAGCCGTGCGGCGATCAAGGCTAATGAAAATACAATCGTCGAGTCGTGCATATCTGGCGCTCGAAAGCACGATGTCGGGATGTAGCGGCAGTCAATTGGCTGTCAGTCAATGTTATGCAAGATACGATTACGTAATCAAGCCGCGACACAGTGAGCAGTATATATACTAAAGAGATAATTGTGTTGTCTAGGGCAGTCTTTTCCACATAAAAGCATGCCAATAGTTACAAGTGAGCTTATTCCATCATATTTGAAGTTTGCTTCAATATCTTCCAACGCGGATCATTCCCTTTAAGGACTCGAATGTTCCGCACGTGCTTCGCCGCGAATTTCTACTTATGATTGCCTGGAACGCACACCTGTGCGGTAACCCTGCTGGCGTTCCATTGTGTGCCTGCTGGTGCTGTGCAGTGAGCCTGCTGGCGATGTGCCTGTTGGCGCTGTGCGGTGTGCCTGCTGGCGGTGTGCCTGCTGGCGCTGTGCGGTGTGCCTGCTGGCGCTGTACGGTGTGCCTGCTGGCGCTGTGCGGTGTCCCTGCTGGCGTTCCATGGTGGTGCTGTGCGGTGTGGTGTCCCCGCTGGTGTTGTGCAATGTGCCTGTTAGCGCTGTGCGGTGTGCCTGCTGGTGCTGTGCGATCTGCTGTTTGGTGCGGTCCGCGCCGAGCTGTGGCTGCGGTCGCCAGGCCTGACGCCACGGGCGCTGCTTCACAGGTGGCGCTGGTGGCAGTTATTCACGTCAGGGACACCCACACCAGCATGGCCACGTCGGTGCTGCACCGGTACGTGCGCCAGGCCGACGGCAGAGTCACCTTGCTACAGGTGAGGTGCCCGGCCGCGCACCGCCTTGCGTGGGACCAGCGACGGGTGCTGCTTGACTCCTCCGATACCGGCTGGGACATAGTTCGTGACACGAACTTACGACCATGCGCATTGCTGAAGGTGTCATGTGAATTCCGTACTAAAACACCTTGCTTAATGGGACATCAAGCTCAACATTCAATCGAAATTCGATAGCTGCCATTGGGAAAGATGGAATGAAACTTGACATAAAACGTATCGGTTTAGGGTTCTTCAATGACTGCCGCAATTAAGAAGGGGGCTGTTTCAGTGTTGTGGTATTCAACCAGACTTAGGCGTGCGCCACCGCCTTTCGGGGTCCGTCGTAGCGTTGATACGTGCACCACCTGTCGCTCACGGCAGGGTTACGATAACTATTTCGTTATGTTCTGTTTCACCGCGTTCTCCGCAAGTCCACCTACACGTACTGGTCTCTATAAGTCGGCAGTAGGGTCGGTTGCAACGTGATGGCGAAGTTTCGCCTGCTGTCAGCGCCATACAGTGGTTGCTCTGTCACGATCAGCATTACGCTCTGCCGTGTGTTCGCCGATCGTTGGCGTCCTGGACTGTTCGATGATCTCTGTGAGATGTGGTGTGACAGCCGCTGCATTAACGACACCCGTCAGAGTTTCGGCAGCGTTATGGAGCACTCAGTAACACTTCTTCTCCTGGGCGCGGCATGATCATTCATAGTGGGCGCGCCCATCTGGTGCTCAGTGACGCCCAGCGATGTCTTGTGGCGCCGTGTGAGGCCCGCTGTCGCTGGCTGTTCTTGCTGTAACACCTGAAAGCGCCTTCAGCACCTCTTTGAAAGCCTCTTTTTGTGCCTTGTCTCCGGCTTCCCCTTACTCTTTACGAAATCTTGTCATTGATGTCGCGTGACGTACACTGACGCTCAGTTTGACCAGCTTTTTTGCGCTGGGTATCAATATGTAGACAATTAAGGCGGTCTTAGACAATTACAACAGTATTCCTGATGGCCGAAACAAATACATGTGTTCTCAGCAGACGTGACAGTCATAATCGTTCGGACCAATAAATGCATTAATCCAACGTATTGGAAATATCCCGTTACCACATTGCAGTGGGGCAATCTAGAGAAACTGCCGCTAGATGTCTCTGCGTGTGGCAAGTGATGGCCGGGCGTGGCCGGGATCCAGCCAACTAGTGGTTAGTTGTTATCTAAGTGGGTTCTGAAGACAGCATAAACTGGTATGAATTATGTTGCCCAAGGCAAGAGCAGTGTTGTGGAGTGTCATAAAGGTACAACTACGAGGAATGGTGTGGTAAAAAAAGAAAGAAGAAATGCGCGGCAGGGATGTGAAGGCTAGCGAAGGGAGAATGGTGTTTATAGCAAGGCGAGGTGACAACGGCCAAAGTTAGCAGCATTCGTAAAGTATTCATATAATACCTTAAATCGTTTTGGGAACGGTCTGCAACCGGCCGGTTGCTTTAAGAGGTTTCGGTAAATGAACGGTTTGTAAAATAAAACAATAAATAATAGTGCGTATGACTGGGATGGCCTGAACATACGTTATGGCCTGAACATACCCGATGTTCCTCCTCGTGTGAAAGATATCAGGGGAAGTTACAGGATAGTACTTACCATGCCGGGTATTACGCTACGTTAAACTTGCTTTACAAAATTCTCTCACTGGCCTGGACTTTAACGTTCGTTCGGCGGGGTTAGGGCCCACGCAACAAGGACTGTTGTGGGCCTTATAAAATTATCCTGTCAACAAGTTTGGAGGAATCTCACAAAAAGTACACAAATTTCGCCTGCGTAGGCACCTAGGTACCCTTGGAGTAACCATGAATAATGGTAAGGTCTGTATGGGTATGGTCGCTTGGACCCCCAGGGGATTTCTCCTCGGATTAGTGTCATTTGCTGGTGCAGCATGGTCGTAAGGGATTTGAGATCCATCAATGATGTCTGCATGAGGCGATATAATTTTGTAATAGAAATTTAAGCTGCATTTCGCAATGAACTCATTACATCTGCACTATTCTGTTTCCAAAATTTAAAAAAGCAACAAGAAAATCGAAGGTCAAATGCATTCATGCGACTTGTGCGCTCAGCTGCACTGGCTGCACACTGAGCTGGCTTGTCAAATGCGGGTCTGATGTTGCCAGACATGTCTAACTCCCCTCAGATCGATGGCTTTGACCCGGAATTGGCATTGTGGCATTCAGCGGCAGCTCGCAAACCGACTCTCCCGCAGAACCCAGTGACGTCACTGTGGCATGGCGCCGACTTCCATTGCCGCCCACTGTCGACCAGTGAGAGGCATTGACATCCGTCTGGTACCTTTGTGACGTTTGTGTTACCCTGCGGCGTCATCACGTCACGTGACATCCCGTAGCACCGGTAGGGTAGTTAGGAGAGCGCTGTGACGCGCCACTGACTGTGCGTTGTCCTGTGTCGCCAGCCGCTGACCGTGCGCCGCCCTGTGTCGCCAGCCGCTGCGCCAGCCGCTGACCGTGCGCCGCCCTGTGTCGCCAGCCGCTGACCATGCGCCGCCCTATGTCGCCAGCCGCTGACCGTGCGCCGCCCTGTGTCGCCAGCCGCTGACCGTGCGTCGCCCTGTGTCGCCGGCAGCTGACCGTGTGCCCTCCTGGGTCGCCAGCCGCTGACCGTGTACTGCCCTGGGTCGCCAGCCGCTGACCGTGCGCCGCCCTATGTCGCCAGCCGCTGACCATGCGCCGCCCTGTGTCGCCAGCCGCTGTACTCGTCGGCCGAGGAGGGCGGCTCGGAGCCGCTGGGCCTCTGCTCCGTCTGCCAGGAGGCGCCGGCCGCCGTCGTGCTGCTGCCCTGCCGGCACGGCTGCGTGTGCCGCGCCTGCTTCGCGCGCACGCCGACATGTCCCCTGTGTCGTGGCTTCGTCGCACAATACTTCACGGTGCCGGCGGCCGCGGACGGCGGAGGGGGCCGCGCCGCCGCAGACACGGCCGCGCTGTGACCGCGGTGGGGGGCGCCGCACCGTTGGCGAGTCAGGGGCGCTGCCGGGCCGCGGCGGCCCGGAGGGAGGGCTCGCTCCGCCTGCTTGTGGTCAGCCTCTGACGGTGTGCATGCCGGTCGCGAACACCCGGAGCGGGCATTCCATAGGATTTCAGGGGCTGCTCTGCTGGGGTTCTGCTTGGTAGGCTGTGCTGGGCAGTACGGCGGCACCGGAGGACGTGGCTGGGCTGATGCCGATTTGTGGCCTGGCCCTCTGTATGCTGTTTTGTGCAGTTGTTTTGCGATGAATCGGGCGGATCCTTGAAGTCCTCCTCAGGCGGCGTTAGTCATCTTTGAATTGATATGATAGTGATTATGTTCCTTGAGTTATTAGTCATTATTGAAGCCTCTAGAGACGATTTAATAACTCAACGTTATATGTGATTGGGGGGCTCCTCATATGGAACGAAGCACTGAGCGAGTCTGGACGGTTTGATATGATGGTGCCTTGGACAGAGAAGTCTTTGACAGACTTTCAGTGCGCCTGAAAGTGCGAGATCTCATTCTGCGTTGTTTTGTTTCGTGTGCTATGCTTTGAGCTGTTGTGCCCAGCGCAGGCATTGAATATACCATTTATTTTTTGCCAGTCAAGAGGAATGTTTGACCTGTATACAGTGTCTTGGACAGAGATGGTCAGATTGTGGTGTGTGGAGAGGTGTGTACAACAATACCGTTTTTTAAACTTGAGATACTTCAGCTTTTGGAGGTCGCCAGTGAAACCGTAACTGGTGAAAGCAAGTAGCTCATATTTTATTCCAGGAATTAACAAGAAGTTTAGGACATTTGCAAGTCAGTGCATATTTTCAATTCCGGTTTACTAGCCTGCCGAGTTCAGGGGGGGGGTTAGTGGTCTCCATCGGCCCAGCACCGTATGGGTCTGCTTGCTGGCTCCCACTGGGCCGCGGAGTCGCGCTCTCCAGCACCACCCCAATCAAGATCGGCCAGATGGTCTGCGCCTTTGTTCAAAACGCCACACAGTTGTGAAATACTTCGTTTGGAGTCGTGTTTTGTGGGATTTTTAGCGTTTCACTACAAAAAGAAAATTGAGTGGTAGACATGTTTATCATGTGTCGCACTTGCGCTCAGCGTACGCATGCAACCTTCTTGGAAAGCATAACCAAACGCCGGTTGAAATCACTGTCGTCGCTGCCGTTCGATTTTTGCAAACAGACAAAACATTCAGGCATGCAATACGTCGTCCGTTGTTACGTGCTGAGTTTCGCGCATACAACAGCCTCGCGAACGCCGAGCACAGGTGTGTAGTCTTGAACCACGGTCTTGTCGCAAAAGGCAGGCTTTCTGTTGAACGTCGGCAATAACACCTCGTGTCGCTTCCTTTTGGCAAGTAGTGTACTGGACAAAATTGCCTTACAAGCTGTTGAGTTCGACATACGAAGGTGGAGACATTGATTTGCTTCTGGCTCTGGCCGTTCGGCTTGCGCTCCCTGGGGTGCCGCTCACTTGATGGTAGCGGAATAAATGTGCAGAGCGTTTACATACACGGGTGGGCGCCGTACCCCCCTCCCTCCCCCCAAAAAACTGCTGGATGCGCCTCAGATGTTGGCGATGCGATGGCTTCAAATAAGTGTATCGAAAGCTATCCTTGGATTCTAGTTAGTTGTTCACCCTTGTGCTAACGCCTCCGTGACTATTCGATCACGTAACGCTGCCAGTTACGAGAGCCTGGTTACATTTTAGATCGTCATTTTGTGAGGTAACGATTATCCTGCAAATGAAACCACCTCATCCCATACGCTTGTCTAGAACCGCCGCTGACTTCCCAGGGTCCCAGAAAAGAACTGAGGGTGGCTGTGTGATCTGTTCTATGGCCTTGGGTTGAGCCCTCCAGCTTTCTGAAAATTGACACTTGTTTTATGGAAGTTGACTGGAAATTAAAAAAAAAACGGCCATTGGTTCTGCCAGTTGCAAGACCTTCCTTTAACCTCCCTCCGCGGCCATTTCTCTGTCTGGTGTCCATGAAGAGGCTACGCCGCAGCAGGCGACTACACGGCGTGGTGGCCTCGATCGCGCAGCGTGATTTAAAGACTCACTACTAGATGGCAGCAGAATCGGCCGTGTGTATGTGCGAGGGGGGGGGCTCCTGGCCGGATTCGCTCTCGGTTGGGACGTGTCGAGCGACCTTGAGGTGCACATGTCGGGGACGGTGGGGAGCGGGCGGGGACGCTCTCGAACTGCTACGAACGCACCGGCAGTGGGCGGGCAAGCACGCGGTCGCACACCATGGAGCGGTGCTTCCTCGGGGACCGCGTGCTGCTGGGGGACGGGTACCTGGGGCCGGCCACGTTGCACGTGGTGGACGGCAAGATCACGAGCGTGGTGCGGCAGCGGGCCCCGCCGTCCCCGGATGTCCCGGTAAGTCGCGGGAACGGCCGGCCTGGTGGCGCACGCCGACCAGGGCGCCGGCCAGCTCGGAGTCTTGTATAGCCCCGACGGACTTAGTTTCACTTGTGCGGCGTCAGTCACTTTTAAGCAGCTTTTAGTATGTGAGTGGAGCATTAGAGGTTTCGCAAGAGCCCATGGACGACTATTTAATTTTAAAATTATTCTTGAACGGAAAGTATGCTCCGCTCGTGTTGCCATCCTGTCGTCAGCTGACGGTAAGTTCGGCTTTTTACTGGCGTCTTTTTCTTGTCAGTAATGTGTTGACCCTATGCAGCTCTCCTGTCAGGCTGTGCTGTGGCGCTGCCAGCGGCACTCTAGGCACAAAGACCGAAAGTTTGGGTTCCGAACCTGTTGCACGATTCGTTTTCGAGCAAAATAGAAGTGTCCTCAGTATTAGAGGTATTCATGGCGTAAATAATGCATGCAACATTAGGTCAATGACTGGCGATCAATACTAGCGTTAGGTGAAAAAAATCGGCCGGCGGTGAAGGTGATCCACAGCGGGCGAGCGGTGGAGAACCATGAAACGAAAAATCGGTACGGGTAATCGAATGAGCACCTCCAAAAGTGGCAGATCAGTGACTGAACGAGGTGAAATAGGGCCAGTTACGTTTGCCGGCAGCGTAAAATCAACTGGTGCACACCAGATTCGCTGGCAAGCGGTATTAGAGATGAGCGGTGTGACGTACGACTCATGAATGTTGTAAATGTACCTGCGAGCGGTACTGATTCAAGACGCCAAATATATTTGGGAGAAACGTTACAAAATCAGCTCGACGGCTAAGCAGAAATAGCAAGGGTTTTTTATGTAGCGGCTTTAACATGCAGCCTCGTCCAGATTTGTCGTCAGAGCTTGTCAGAGCTTGCTTGTCAGATTTGTCGTCAGAGCAGAGCTCGCCAGTCCGGCGGCCGCACATATGACTCAGATTTCGTCCAGACGTGGTCAGCACGACAACATGTTAATGCGGAGTTGTATGTTTATGTTTGTCGGTCAGACCATGCTGGGCACCCAGGAAACAAACAAGGCTGAAGTGAGGCCGCTCTCCCAGCCTGATCATAACATGCATGTTCTAGAAGTGAATGTAGAATGCCAGCGGCACCGATCGGGGCCGTACCGGTTCAGTAACGACTCGTTGAAAAACGAGAAGTTCTTGAGAAAGGTAAAGGGGAAGTAGCAAAGCAGAGAACATAGAAGGTGTGCATACAGGTGTTAATGATGTGGAACTGCTAGTGGATCTCTTATTGACAAATGCATTTGATGATGGTATAGCGACCGGGAAACAAACTGCAAGAAATAGAATGTAGAGGAAAAAACCAACTGCGTTCATTCTAATAACATTAATAATTCACATGCGGCAAGGGATGGAAAAGCCGAAAGAGTATAGATGGTGTTCAGTTGCAGCAAAGAATCGATAGGCAGAGGGAGTATAATAATTCCGTGGACGGGCAGGAAGTTTTCTAGTAAGAAAAAGTGGAAAGAACTGTACTGTTTGGCAAGGCGAGATGGTTTGAGCAATACGAAGGGCTGACCGGACACTTTCTAGAGCCTTAAAGGTCTGTACATTTGCATATGTACTGCATAACGTCTTAATATATAGGTAAAAGGCTTGGGAAGGTGTTTCGTCGTTTGTTGTCATAGTCGTTAATTTAGATTCACCTGCGCAATGGCTATTACGAATCCGGTCAATGGTAATACCGATGTTTTGCAAACCAGTAAAATGTGGTAAAGAAATGCGGTAAACATCTGAGTGACTGGAATGAAGCGCTTGTTCAAAGCATTTAAAATGCCCGACAGCCAAAACTGGTTCCAATTGGCGAAAAACAAAGACATAACCAAACTGCACGAGAGACGACAGCTGCGCCGACGTCCGTAAGTAGCTCCGCTGTCTCGTTGCCAGAGGGTGAGGCGTTCCAGGACGATGCCGTTCTCAACGCAGAAGGCCGCTGGGTGCTTATGGGTCGGACACCATGGAAGCTCGGGCATTCCAGTGGCCACGGTGCGGTCCTTCTTTGCGACATTTGGGCGGCCCCAACAACTACATCTGGATTGCGTGCGGACGCAGGGTGATAATTTCATGGATCTATGCATCAACAGTCGCATTGGCGTACCATTTCGCCCACCTGTCACTAGACCAACGATTACAGAGCACATGAAACGTGATTAGAGCGTCGCACTTCCACCACCAGCTTGATCACAGCGTTGATAATCTTTAAACGCGATACAGATGACGCTGGGCGACTCCATCCCAGACGAATAGGCAGAGAGAGATGTGTGCGAACACATATGCCTGAACATGGAGTTTTAGCACGCGCGATGTAAGGTGATGGCCGATCTTGTGCAAGAGTGATCGGATCGCGATGCTTCGCCGGGCTACCTTGGATGTATGGGATTCCTCTGTCGGCTGCTGGTCGAGGGAGGGCTTAGGAAATCGTCATGTTTTTTCCAGTGGTCATGTTTTAAGCCTGATGGTCTGGCGTAAAAGTTTTATTTTTATATTTTTAGGGACAGTGGTGTACCTAGAATAGTAGTATGGGTAGGCAAGTGTATGGAAAAAAAGATGGCATATGAACCTGCTTGTTTTTAATTGAACGAAAGCTTTCGGGACCATCCCTTTATCTTCAGCTTTGGTCAGACAATGATATGAAAAATGTCATGTCGTGGTTTGTTTTTTAACCAAATCAACTGTATCGAATGTAACGTCCTCTGTGGTATGGCTCGAACGATGATAATTTGTACAATCCAAGCGATGTCCCAGGCTGTCAAAACACCGAGATCACGATGGGGCAGTTGATGACCTTTTTGACCCCAGTGATATAAAATGTTTGTTTTCGTGAAATGCCTGTATTAGGTCCAATCGGTGACAGATAATTTATCACAAGTTTTCCTATGTTTGACATCATATTTACATTCAGAAATCCGTCCTGATTCCGGCGCTCGGATTACGGCGCTTAAATTCTTTGTTTAGCTGTGCTCATTACACCTTATTATTTTTCTTTGACAGGTCGCCCGGATCCTCCGACGCCAGATAATGCCCCGAAGTGTCAAGTGCCCAAGGGCATGTCCG